TGATTTTGATTTTTGTAATGTTCGTGAAATGTAGATGAGTCCATCGATCGTCGGTAGACTATTATACTGAATAGCTTTTTCCATTGTCCTTGACGAATGGCATACAGTCACATTCTCGTCTGGTATTTTATCTAGTGGGAAGATCGCCTCATAGAACGACTAAATATAGATCTGCTTTTAGTACTTTTTTAATTTGATGTCAAGTTGTTCGACACATGGAAAATCGTGAATTATTATAATAGGGTTATTCACTTCTGAACAAAAGATTCGATTTCATGCAAAAAAAAACAAAAACAATTTTTATCCAAAAATAGTTCAAACAATTTTCTCTTTTGTTACTGGTAAGAAAGTGTGAGATTTATTCAGAATCTTGCCGCATAATATCAGATATTTCTTTCTCGTCTAGTACATCAAAATATTAATATCTGCCATTTCTTCCATTACATATCAACATATGGATGATTTCTTTGATCAAGTTACAAAAATAATAACCACTAGTAAGAAAATAAATACACAAAGATGATTTAAATATTACTAAAATGACGAGAGAATTCGAGTTAATCAATCTTTTGTATTAAAAACATACGTCATCTCAAAATCAACTTACAGACTAAATAATTTATTGACTTCTGTTAATCCCGACGCGAAAGGTTTTCGTATTCAAAATCAATATTTTGTTTTCATTTGTTGCTATTAAATATCTAATCCAGGTGAGCTTCTTTTTACTTTCTAACGCCCTAAGAATAACTCCAAAATCTGAAAAAAAAAACGGAGGATATGCTTTCATAACAAATATACTTTTCCTCTGACGTTTAATAAATATACAAGAAATAAAGAACCTATAAAATGATCAGTAATCGATTACTTCTCAATAAACATCGATTATGTCATTCCACCGAATTCTTCTTGCTTTTCTTCTCTACACCATCTCACTCACATCTGCACTTCAATGTACAGTAGATTGTTCATTTAAATCCGATCTCGACACTCCTTTCGAAATTCCTAAATCATGCAATCAAAGTCAGTCTTCAATACAATGCGCTTTTCGCATGTCGTACTGGTATCATCGATATTATTCATATCTTTCATTTGAAATCGGTCAAGCAAATGGATCATCAGGAATGTATCATTCTACTGGTGTTCGATTTTCCAACGATGGTTCACTTAGTTTTGATTATAGTGTCTCGCATCTATGCGATCACTCCGACGACTGTGCAATTGAGTTCGCTACGAAAACCATGTCAGGTTTGCTTCAACGTTTGAAATTTAACTACACAACACTTGGTGAAGAACTCTGGCCACTTCTTGCATCATCATCACCGATTGAAGATGCTGATCTTTCATGTTTCGATTCGGATGAAAACATTCGTCAATGTGGTTTGGTTACTCGGCCTGGTATCTGTCAAGGTGCACAACGATTACGAAGAAATAGTCGAACCAATCGTGGCTGTAATAATCAACTTTATGGGAATGACAAATCGGTGACTGCATACGATTTTGGTAATTTTGGAAGCTTTGAAATCCGATGTAATCGATCATTATGTAATGGTCCATTAACATTTCAAGCTGTTAAAGATGTTATGTTCAAATACAATATAACCAAAACAGTCGATGGACAATTAAGTCAAGGAATACGTCATTCGCTATCGTTCATATTCGTTATTTTGATTATTATCCGTTTGATATAATTGAAATAGGAAAAAGAATCTGAAAAAGAAAGCAGACACATATACTCTTCATGTTATTTTCTTAGTTTTACAAAGAAAGAAACAAAAACAAAACAACGGTTTTTTTTTCTTATATTAAAGTTGAAGGATAAATTGTCCATTGGGTTCATGAAATTGTCTTCCAACATATGTCACCCATGCTGTAACACCGACAACCAACGATAATGCTAATAAACCCAAATCCGCAATTAAAAATCGCGATGAAAGTAAACTTAAGACTTGTAATTGACTAACTTCATAAGCAACACAGCCAATCAGGAATACATTAATTAAATTAATAACAAACGTTACATATGCATGACTTGTTGCATAGATATGATATTGTCGACCGAGAAAGTAGGAAAATACCAACGGCAGGAGAATAATTCCTAAGAGAATGATTAGAAAACCAAGTGCAATTAGTGATGCAAAGATGAAGAGATAGTCAGTTGTTAGGAAAGTGAATGTTGCATTTGCCACTAATAATATAAAACCGGTTAGAGAGTGATAGAAAGCTAAACAGCCTGCTAAATTTCCCCAACAAACACCAGATTTCCAATGGGAATTATTAAAAACAATGTTTTGAAAAGTGTTCAGCAAAATTCAATCTTGAAGAAACAGTCAACACACAAATTCTCGTAAGAAGAATTCTCTTTCAAATGCAAAGATTTTCCTTGGATTGATTTAGAGATGAAAATTAACAAAAAGCACATCTTTTTTCTCCAAGGAAAAACAAAGAAGATTAGATTTTCTTCTTTCTTATCAAGTATTGAGATGATGCTTCCCAAAAGAAAAAAAAGCAAATTGTTGTTTTGAACAGTATATATATATAAACTTATTTACATGAATATATCTTTTGTGTGTGTGTATGTTTATGTCCGATTGCATTTTGTTTTTGACAAGAAAAATAATAAAAACATTTCTCACCGTTCTCTCGTTTTTCTTTGTGTTCATTTTCTTCATCGAACTTAATCAAAGTCCGAAGTATTGAAAAAAAAGCCCTTTTGAGCTATTTTTTGTCATTGAATAATCAATCAAATGACAATCCCGAACCACTTCCAAAGAATTTTCTTTAATCGAAGATAGATGATTTTTCCGATCGAAATGGATTGTAGTGTTTATTATTGATTGACCTTGACCAAAAAGAGAACAAACTCATTTGTGATCGACTGATTTCAAGAACAAATCTTAATCAACAGACGATGCCAATGTTTTTCCTCGTCTCTCTCATTCATCTTCAATTCTTTTTCTCGAATTTGCAAAAAGAAATCAATTGGACATTCTAATTGAGACTATCGTAGAATTATCCCACCTCAATGCCTATCGATAATGTAAGATGTTTCACGAATTTGATTTTATCATTCAATCGTAGATAAAACCGTTATGAATGATGATTCTTAAATCCGATCCCGGTAAATATGTGCTAATGATGAGAAAAAAAAGCAAGATAAGAAACCAAATAATGCTGGATTTAATTTTTAACAAAGTAATCAATCTTCTATCAAGTATTAATCTACTTTTTATTCGTGTAAATCATCTCCTGGAAGAGATACTAGGCCATCAAAATTTTCACTCTCTGGTATCCTTTTCTTTGTTTTAGCGTAATAATCATGAGCACATCTTGCATGCCAACTCAGTAATCTTCTGAATGGATAAATATTTTCTGGTGAATTCAATGGTTTTCCATCAATATCCTTGAATTGCGTGTAATTTGTATATAATTTTTGGTCATTTTTATCTAATATAATGCTTTTCATTATACCATCATTACCTTTATGTAAGACTTTTAATAGTAATTTTCCTTGAAATATATTATTTAACATTTGTAAACTCGAATTGAATGGTTTGGGTTCGTGTTTTTTGGCCGTTTTTAAATTAAATTCAATTCATGATAATTATACGTGGATTTTTTACTGATATCAGGATGATTCTTTTACATAACACGTTCGTCTAAAATAAATAATACTTAGTTACTTCTGGTTTTAATGAATTTGTTTATCGTCATTCACGGTGTCGAATGTAAATGTCTAAAAAGGTATCATCTTCGGGAATTTTCTTTTCAAACAAGATCTATACAAATAAAAAACACTTGAATTAATCGAAAGATATCATTCGAGATTCGATTATCTATTTCCTCATTTCTAGTCTACAAGTAGTATCTTGTGTAAAAACACAAATGTGTAGGAATAATTAAAGTAAGGCAAAGTATCGTTTCTAAAGCTATCATCGTGCACTTAAGAGCTAAAAATAATAAGGTAAAAGACCGAGAAAAACATAGATCTTCGCTGTTTCATTTTATTATGGTAAAATATTAAGGAAATATTCTATGCGATTTGGTCTATTATCATTTATGAGCCTAATATATGATAATTGACTTTGAGACAATCATCAAAACTATCCCGAAGACATTCTTTCGCCCGTGAACTGACCATATTTGACCCGTTTGTTAGGCGCTGTATACGATCAAAGTCGGTGAAAAACGTGTAGAAAATCCTATAAATAATCACGTACGATACACAGTCGTAATAAGGTACGTACCAGACAGGTCAAATACGATGGAATGGAGAACAGGCGTTTATGACTGAGTTTATTTCACCTGGATTGACAACCATTGATGAGAATGTCAGTATAAAATTCTTGAAACAGAATTGCTGAAAGCGTTCACGTGATAATCTTTTGTATCAGAATTGCAAAGATATGCATACGGCTGCCAGATCATGATCGTTGAGATCGAAATTTTGTAGTTCAAATGACAAGCCTGAATATGCCCGATATCTCTCGCATATATTTATTATTGGATTATGTATATGTACAAAGGAAGGAGAAAAAGAAAAAACTACTTCTTCCCTTTTTTGTTTGCTGGGATTGTATTGTATTATTCTTCGTGTTCATTTTCAGTTTTCTTTTATCCAATTGTCTAGTTAATATTGAAGGATTAGCATCATTTGAATCAATGAGTGACAGTAAGTTGTCGGTATACTTTACAATAATTAACATTTCCATTATGTATTTTGCAAGGTCGCAGTAGTCTGGAAGAAGAACAAACATTTTCAACTCTAATCGGCGGAAAAATATATTTTGTTCGATATAAAGCTAAACAAGCTTTTGGTGTATGTCACGTCTTGAGGTGAGAGAGAATTTATTTAGAAATAAACATAAAACTGAACAACACTAGGAAAACATCGTGACTATATATATAGCTCTAGAAAGGGGAAAATACCCTGCGAATATTCCAACAGACTATGACGACATGGAATATTTCGTAAGGATATTTCCAACAAGGACAAGAGAGTCATGACATCACTATATCACAATGTAGATGAAAAAACAGCATCATCAAAAAATTCGTCGAACAAATCAGGAAAGAGAAAGAGAAAACGTAAAAAGAAGAAACACCGGCCAGCATTAGTCTTATACATTGATGGTGATTATGTACATCTCTTAGTTACTAGTGGACTCCATGGAAGCATAACATCGAACAGTGATCCAGCAGAGAAAATCTTTCTTCCACAACTAAGTTGTCAAGAAGTTATACAATATCTATTACCAATACACCCAACGAATATCTTAAACAACAACAGACGTAGCGTGATGCTCACACTACCAACCACTCCGTCAAAATATTTTAGTCCAAAAACAAATTATTATGTTATCATGAAGATAGTGACCCAGGTTATTATGGCACGGTCGGTTCCGGCCGGAAGTTCAAGCGTAGGTTCCAGTCATTTCCCGACCGTTTCCTGCAAACTTCGAGCTGGAAACGGTCAGGAACTGATCGGATATTTCCTGTGCAATTCCGGCCGGAATCCGGCGGCAAGGAACCTACCGGAACTTGCTGGAATCGAGAAGAGCTGTACCGGAACCGACTCAGATTTCACCGGATCCAGTCGCCGGAATGATCGACCTGGGTAAAGCGTCCATTGACCGATCTTTTTCCAGAACCAATTAAAGAATATTTTGACCAAAGTGAATTAGAGTACATGAACCATGTATTATATCAAATTGATCTTGAAAAACCGACGATTGAATTTAATTAATCGAACAACTCAATTTCCACCAATAAACGAACCTGATGATGATCAAGAATCGAATAGCATCTTGCCGGAAGGCAGATTTAACGGAATTAGTCCAAATATTACTTTAAACGAAAGCAAATTTTGTGTATATTAACGAATGGATCAATAATTTGTCACCATCACCAATCGATCTGCCCATCATTGATCATCATTCAATTATCTGAAAATCATGCATTTATCTTCTTGCAAATTAAGCAATGTTTTTCGATTGTTAGCTTTCCTTTTATAATCGGTGGATGTTCATTAAAAATAAAAAAGTCATTCATCAGGAAATTATGATTCGATGCGAAAAAAATAAGTCAATAACGTACAAAGCTGTCAGATAACATGTTATCCCTATATTTGGTCATCTTGAGAGGGTGAGGGTATGATTGACGACATGAACACCAGGCAACATATCGACAACACACACACACTCTCATTCAGTCGGAGGCTAAGCGACTCTGCCTCGACGACCGTTACTTATTATAAAAGTTCTTAAATAGCTTTGTGGCTCTATGACATCCTATATTGTTGGAATTTGTTACGAGGTAAATTAAAAGATGATAAGTTAAAAACAGGGTTATAGCGCGTATGCAATAATACAATGTGAGTTGTTGTGAATGGTTCCATGGACTGCAAACATTTACCAATGTTAGTTATTCAGTCGATGGCTCAGCGAGTCTATCTCGACGAGCGTTACTTGTGTTTAGTGTCGTATTTAATTCTCTTTGTATTTATTCGTTCACAATGTATTGGATTATCATCAAATAATGAAAGCAAACAAATTATTCATTCATTTAAATTATCAATGGGTATAATAACAAGTAGCGCTCACCGTGCCGACTCACTTAACCCTCAACTGTAGAGGACAGATGTTTTTTTCGTGTCCCAATTGTGAAACTAATTCATTTAAAAATTTCATACACGAAGAAACAATTCAAATGTTTTGCGCAGATATATTTAGTAAATTTCGAAAACAAAATACTGAATTTTTCTGACTATTTTTGGAGATGCATATAAAAACCTCAATTTTATACTACCAATGCAATATGCAATAAGAAGAAAGAAACGGTGACGCAATACAACAAGTAATGCTCGTCGAGGCAGTCGCTTACGGATGTTATATTTTTAATGCATTATTGTGTACATAAGTTTATTTCCGGCATAGATTAGATATTTTCAAGAAATACCAGTACAATTAGAAAGATTATGGATGATTACAAAAAAAATGAAACAAAGAAAACACGATAGGTAATATCTGGTACAATGGTAGAAAATCAGACAATTATATAATAATTAACATAAGTGTGAATAGAGATAAAGGAAATGAACATTTATAAATAATTATTTTAAGGTCATTTCAAATTATATTACATTTTATATGCCTACGATGGACTAGACTATTAGCAAAGTATCGATTTACACATATTTACGAAATGAAAAAGGTACACTGTCGTTTTGTCTTTTTGTCAAGTTCATCTAGACGTTTCAGTCTAGCGTCTTGAGCAAGAGAAGGTCGTACTGGTAGAACCTTCATATCAAAAGTTCGAAGAATGACTATATGTTCCGCTCTCTTCACTCTGCTGAGTGGTACGTATACTGACACCACTTGCAATGTCTGAAACGGAACTTGAAGATCGACTACAATTTTGTTCATCGTGAGTCCATACGCTTTATATGTAGTTATTGCGAAGGCAGGTACAATTGGTAGCTGTGTTCGTGTGACTTGAATGACTTGTGGAATTCTTCTCTCATTTTGTACTCGATCGAGCAGATGCCCGAAAAGTTGCCTTATAGGAACAGTGAACTGCTTCTTGATTAATGGAATAGGAATGAGTTTGCGACGAAGGCCATCGAGATTTGTTACTACTTGTGATGCATTCAATTCTACGAGTGCATATAATGGTTTTCGTATGTAGATTGCATTTGAGGGAAATATTTCGCTTTTTATTTTTAAATCGCTCGGATCCTTCTGATCATCGTATATGAGCTCTCGAAAAATTCCTTGAGTACCATTGGAAAGCCCTATTTCACAGGCATGTTTCTTACCAAAGCTAAAAGACCAGAAAGAAGTTCAGTCTTGTTGTCAGGTACACGGAGGTTAGTTCAAAGTTCGTTTATGAAGATCAGTTATTAATTATTACGCCTCTAGACATCGAACATAATGTTTTATTTATCATACTAATACGCTTGACTATAGCCGGTGTCCTATGGTTATATATTTTTTTCGAACATCACGTACAGACTATTACTACACAGTTGTATTCGTTGAGGATGCTGTATTGATAAACAAATGGAGACTAAATGTGCACAAATATCTTGATTGAAAGTAAAATTATTTGTACTTAGATGATGATACTTTGCATACTTTCAGTCCACTCGATTTATATCACTGTACTTTGACTAAGTACTATTAACCCCTTGAAAAAAGGCGGTATATGTACATATAATTTCAGATACATCTCAAAACCTAGCAACACTACAGATACAAAATCAGTCTGGAGTGACTCCAGATAGCCAAAATCCACTTCTGTTCAATGATCATCATTTTGTGCGAGCTTCCAATTGCCGATACGTGTAGAGAGCTCAAAGACAGGTACCCAAATCAAACGAAATGTACCTTCTCTTGCAGTGTAATGCTGAGGAAAGCTACGAATATATAATATTTCAGCGCACAGGCTATGGAGTTGAATGATGCACCACTAACTGGTTTCCGTTTTGTCATCATTCGAAAGATAGACCTTAGAGCAAGCGTACGATAGGGGCCTATCATTAGATATTGAATGTACCAGTCCGAATCTGACTGAGAAAATTTGTCAAACTGGTATTCTCCGCTTTTCTTACTACGCTGATCGTGGGAAGCGATTAGTCTAACAGCGCGATCTGGTGCGCTACTTTTTGACCATTCTCTCTTCACTGTGCCATTTCAGTCACTTTAGAGTACATTGTTTCTTTCCAATGCACCATAGAATTCATAGATAACGGATACATACTATCCTCTTCAAAAATAAATTACAAACAAACATAACACTTCATTATCAAGCTCTCAATACATTTAGGATTTGGAATCAAACATGAAACAGCTAGATAATAATGAAACATCGCTCCCATTTAATGTGCCTTGGTCTGATCACTTTACCTGTACGAGACCTGCCATGTAAAATGCATACGAACTGTACTCTTGTCAATACAATTCTACCATATCCCAATATAGTCGAGCAGTCTGTAGTAATGTTGTCTTGTCAATCGCACACTTTCAGAAACAAATTCCAATCCCAGCAAACCTCTCATAAACGCATCGTACCATGGCACCTCTTCCATCAAACACTGCTCTGTTGAACCTCCGTAAGTAAAGCACTCACTTCCACTATTCCACGTATATTTTCCCACAAAAAAAAGCATTCTCATTCAGGTCACATCCACTTCTCACAGCAAAGTTCATTTTCTATTCCTTCACTACTTCTCACTGTCAGCAAAACTACGCAGCAAATGACATCGACCAAATTCTCTATCGAAAAGCATCCTTTCTACCAAAAGAGTCACCAGATCCACTATCACTTGTTCTCCCATTTCGTTCAGTGAAAGACCTACACCATATTGATGCTCTAAGAATTAGATAAATCAAATATTCCCCATTCTGTTCCAGCAAAGCATCAGCCTTACTGCATTCCGACGCAACGCATCGGCAATGTGTTGTGCCACTTCATCACCGATTTGGTTACTGTCGAGGATTAGTGTGGTGAGTGTCTGTAAGTGTGAGAGACACTGAATACTTCACCTTCCGTCAAATGAAATCAATATTACCGTGTTCGTTCGCAACGCATCGGCAATCCGTTGTGCCACTTCATAACCGATTTCGTTGTAGCCGATATCTAGTGTGGTGAGTGTCTGTAGGTGTGAGAGAGACTGAATACTTCACCTTCCGTGAAATGAGATCAGTATTACCGTGTTCGTTCGCAAAGCATCCGCAATGTGTTGTGCTCCTTCAGCACCGATTCCGTTCCAACTGAGGTTTAGTGTGGTGAGTGTCTGTAGGTGTGAGAGAGACTGAATACTTCACCTTCCGTGAAATGAGATCAATATTACCGTGTTCGTTCGCAAAGCATCCGCAATGTGTTGTGCTCCTTCAGCACCGATTCCGTTCCAAATGAGGCTTAGTGTGGTGAGTGTCTGTAGGTGTGAGAGAGACTGAATACTTCACCTTCCGTGAGATGAGATCAATATTACCGTGTTCGTTCGCAACCCATCCGCAATCCGTTGTGCTCCTTCAGCACCGATTTCGTTGCGGTAGAGGTTTAGTGTGGTGAGTGTCTGTGCGTGTGAGAGACACTGAATACTTCACCTTCCGTCAAATGAGATCAATATTACCGTGTTCGTTCGCAACGCATCCGCAATGTGTTGTGCTCCTTCAGCACCGATTCCATTCCAACTGAGGTTTAGTGTGGTGAGTGTCTGTAGGTGTGAGAGAGACTGAATACTTCACCTTCCGTGAAATGAGATCAATATTACCGTGTTCGTTCGCAAAGCATCCGCAATGTGTTTTGCTCCTTCAGCACCGATTCCGTTGTCGAGGAGGATTAGCGTGGCGAGTGTCTGTAGGTGTGAGAGAGACTAAATACTTCACCTTCCGTGAAATGAGATCAGTATTACCGTGTTCGTTCCCAGCGCATCCGCAATGTGTTGTGCTCCTCCATCACCGAGTCGGTTATAGCCGAGATTTAGTGTGGTGAGTGTCTGTAGGTGTGAGAGAGACTGAATACTTCACCTTCCGTGAAATGAGATCAATATTACTGTGTTCGTTCGCAACGCATTCGCAATGTGTTGTGCCCCTTTAGTACCGATCCCGTTCCAGTAGAGGCTTAGTTCGGTTAGTGTCTACATGAAAGGGACAAGTAGCAAAGAAAATCTTTGATGACACTTCCGACTGTATATGTGTGATATGAGGGTGCGGGGGTGTGGGTGAGGGTGAGGATGAGGAGGAGGGCCGGAATGAATATAGGCGTAGACCGAGAAATTGTGGAGAGCAGTTTGCTTCGTTTGGGAGGGTTCATCAAAAGTGATAGCTGATAATCTTTTGTATCGAAGTGCTCAACATATATAGGAGAAAGGCGAGAGAGGGGAGGAATGCTTGATTTCATATGAATTCGCACTGTGAATGTCTTATTCGAGGAAATTATTTGCGGATTATGAGATTACTTGCGGCTTCTTATGAAGAAATTTACGACGTTAAATATTATTAGGCTTATGAGTAGTATAACCGACAAGAATGTTAAGGTGCCATCAAGTAAACTTACTCGATATCGCTCATAGGTGCTCAGGATCTGATTGAGCCGCCGGGAAATATTTTGCATTGAACAAAATAGCGTCTCGTCATTTTGATGATCCATAATTCGATAAACAATTTCGACGGGTAATGTGGAAAATGTGTGCATGTTGTATTTCAATCGTGCAGCAAACCGTACCGTAGAGACTGGAAGCGATGAAAAATGTTTGACTTTGTTCGTTATGAGTAGTATCTCATGATGGTGATGTAGTTATATACGCTTTTGACGAAAACAAATGACGTGTAATCATTTCAACAGTTACGAATTGTTGGCGTGCGCAGAAAGATGGCGTTGGAATACGCATGCTCATTGAATTCTGTTTTGACATTTAAAATAGAAATTTTAAGAATTAAAAGTAGGAAATCTTTTATGCCTTTGACTCCTTTGCAAGCCAATTCGATTTTCTTCAAAAGAAATTGACACCTTTAAATTAATTTTTTTAGCTAAAACGTACAGTGGAAGATAAAGAGCTCTACAGTTTAAATTAGAGATTTAGTTTAATCATGTAAATTTGTTTTTCAAGAAGGTTAAATGCTAACCAATCAGTTTTCACTAATTGATTTGCATCATTTGACGTTTTTCGGTAATAAAACACACGACTGTAAAAAGTTTCACGCTAGATTGCTGAGAGCTTCATGCAGCATCTCTCAGTGTGTTCGTTTCGTTCTTCCCAGGTCTTATTCGATGATAGATAAAAGAAACAAGAAAAAATGATCGTTCGTCAACCTAAAAAACCAGTCACATGATCTTTTATTTCTTTTTGAAGCCACAAAATATAAAATTGAGCTACGGTTTACCGGGTGGGTGGCGTTAACTTGAACACTTAAAGTTAAGTTAAATTGCCACTCCTAAAATATCTATCTGTTTTTTTTTTGTGTTGAAGAGTGAGTTAGAACACTCAGCATCTTTTACATAAATAGAATGCCAACTCCCTCACCGAGGTGCCCTAACATTTGTTGTGAATTCATTTTGATGAATTAATTGCTCCATGACATTTTAGTAAATAAGAAAACGTGGAAAACCTTCGAAAAAACAAGCGTTATCGATTCTCTTCGGAAGCAAGGCGTTTAGCTTATTGGAAAAGCTAAGCCGCTTTTCGATGTACTCAAACAGATGGCTTTGAAGACAATCATCAAATCTACGAGAACGCCGTAATATCTTACTTTAGAACACTCGTAGTTCTGTTGACAGATAACTGCTGATTAGTTTCTTACAATACAATAACCATGACATATATATATATATATATATATATATGCGAGCACTTCCAACGAAGAGCAAAAATAGTGCCCGATTTATTATTTGGCTGTGGAGGATAGTATTTTATGTAGTGCGTGGTATATGTTATATCGTTCCATAGGATTTTACTCTGTGCTTTCTGCAATAAATTATGAAACGAATGGAACTACATTGTTCTAGTTCTTCAACATCGGTTTTCTTTTGCTGAAATACATATTGCTCATATAATTTGCCTGAAAATCTATTTTACTACTTAATTGATGAGCATTCATATTCTCTCTTACTAGAATTATTTTCCACGATTTGATTCCGCTGATAACAACAAGTAACGCTTGTCGTTAGACTCGCTCAGCTCTTTGTCATAGAAATATTGATTTCAGATGTCATAGTATTAATGCATTATTGTATATATGAACAACAGCTACGTTACTTCAGAGTTCGTTTATGAAGATCAATAATTAACAAGTAACGCTCATCCTTTGGATTCGCTGACCCTTTTCTGAAAGACTTTTCCGAATGCTGAACACATTCAAAGACTTCGAAAGAGAAAAAACGCACTGCGATTGCTACTGGTGCTCAGCTGAATCATGGTACTATGTCACACACTAGAACTAGAATAAATAGGACACAGAGGTCTTTCTAGGAATCAGACCGATTAGCCATTTGTCAGTGGATAATTCTCCAGCACTAACTATGTTGACTGAAAAATTCATCGCTCAACGGCTAGTCAGTCGGCCACTCACGGCCAACCATTGACCTTTGTCATCTGTTTTTCTATTTTCACATCACGCGCATGGAAATTTTCATAAATGCTTTACTAAGTCATTCATAGACGGACGATACACAGTAGACTACTTGAAAAGTGTCAACATTCGCCTGTGTCTTCCAGCGATAAACCGATTCTTTTCTCTCCTGTCAAAAAAATGATACCTTGCCGAATATTTTCATTGAGGAATATACATTCGTCAAATCCCTTTCAAAATTATCTGAAATCTAGCAAGGTTATTCTAAGCGTGCACTTTAGGATTAATCTAGCATTTAAACGCCTAGTCGTACGTCGACCTCTCTCCGATCGGTCACTCACGGCTAGCTGTTGACGCACATGATCAGTTTTCATAGTTTTTCCATATAAAGAAGTAGCTCGTTCATACTGAGTCGATCTCTGATCGAAGTTATCAAAACCCTTCGTAACTGTGTAGTTTACAGTACATATTATATTGCTCTGTTCAATTTGAAGCGCTGATAATGTACAATCCCTATTCTCGAAGCTCGAAAACATATCAATTATGTTCGTTCAAAAACCATTGGCTTTAGTTGAGACAGTGATAAATCTCATCTTTCAAGTAATTTTCAAAACGAACGTCTAGTCGTTCGTCGACCTCCCTCCGGTCGGTCACTCACGGCTACCCGCTGCCATGCTGTTTCTGTTATTCCTTTCGCCTTCGATCGACTTTCAAACTGAACGATTGGGTTTTCTTTTATTGTCGCTTCGACAGCCATAATCTTCTGTTCATTCGACTACCCAAAGAAACTAGATAGGAAAGTCTTATTGTATGATTTGCTTCGAAGCGAACATCTTTCATAGCGCTGCATGTGTTCAGGATACTGTTTCTACAGTCCACGCGTCTGTAGTTACTAAGATGGAATTCCACCGACGGGTATATCGCTTTGCGAACCACTTCTACTAAATTCCCATGAAAGAGCATGATATATGTAGGCTGCAAAGCAAATATGATACCAAGCTCATATCACTTTTTCGGATTTCTTCAATTAGAAACATCATTATGTACAATGCATTAGATCTTTTCGTGTAAGTTCTTGAGCTACTATCTTTGTACGCATGACGTCCGTGAATAGCGTTCAGCTCACTATCTTCTACAAAAGATTTTCGAACAGATAAAGAAAAAATATCTCCTTTGTAAATAGGAAGGAACAAGCCCAGGCTCAGCGAATAAGACGAAATTCACCCTCAAATTCAAATTTCCCGACGTCAGAAATCCTTCGGTCTACTCTGACAGTGGATGTTATTAAGTCGTGGCTAGTTAATGAAAAATTAATAATTAATTAAGCAACACTAACGTCGGATTCGAGATCCTCGACGTCGATTACCCTTCGGTCAACCCTTACTGGGCAACGAAGAAAATTTTCATTACTTAATTAGCTAATTAGCTAATGAGCTGATTGGAATTTCGAGAAACTAACCTCGGATTCGTGATCCTCGACCTCGATTACCCTTCGGTCGACCCTTACTCGACATCCAAGAAAATTTTCATTAGTTAATTAGCTAATTAGCTAATGAGATAATTGGAATTTCGAGAAACTAACCTCGGATTCGTGATCCTCGACCCCGATTACCTGTCATCAGTCATTTTCTAATGATGTTGGTTAAGTTTTCATTGATTTATGAAATGCTGCAATCTGATTGGATTATGCAAACAAACAAACTTATTGCATTTTAGTGGCCTGATTTATGACGCTATAACCCTTTCTTTCAGAAAAGGGAACTATTAAGTCACCAGAGATTGACGAGAATATTTATACACTTGACTATATCCGATATCATATGGTTATACATGTTTTTTTTTCCCGAGAATGGGTACCCTTTGTTTCAAATTTTTTTTGTAATTCTAAAAAAACTAACATCAGGGTCGAGTTCTTCGGCCCAAAAAACTCGAAGGGCAACCATCAGATTCCAAGTCTCCGCAATGAAGTACGTTTGAAAATATCTTTTCCAAAAAATCGATTTTCGATGTTTTTTTGGCCCTGCGGACATACAAGCAAGCAAGCAAACAATTTATGTTTCTAAGATTGTTCTCTACGAGAAAGAGAATAAGCACTAGGGCCACTTCAATCGAACGACATCACAACCATACACAACATATCAAATGCGTGACGAAGCGTACACAAGAGTAAAAAATATAGAACATCAAACATCAATCTTAGCCTACTCTAAGTCAATGTCACTTTCCCGGCATCCTCACCCTCATCTACATACTTCAGCCCATCAACTTCACTACCACGAGACCCCGCGCTATTCCCTCCAGAAATAGTCAACTCCGATTTATGAATCCAACTGGAACAAACAGTGAACTACAAAAGAATATGTTCACCATTAATCCAAATTTACTACGAACACCAACAATAATCATCACCTACTCGTAGCAGTTTTATTTCTTTGTCGTTGTAAAATTCCCATATATTTAATAGGTTTAATTCTATCGATTAGGATTACATTTGACAAATGTGATTTTAACTAATGTATCCTTTGATATCTCCATTTTCGCTTCTACTGCATTTAGCTACGGTAATACATACGATTATTTGTCGTTCTTTTATTACTCTTAAGATCACTTACAGTTGAATAAAAGCTGGAACACCCTCACGCATTCCAACTGTCTTCTGACACCCTTCTAACTATCCCAGTCCCACATTAGCTTCATATTCCATTAAAAACAAATCAATAAGAGCTAAACACCAAACCTACATAAAATCCTCATATGAGGGAACACAACCGCCGATCACCGACTCCAATCACCCACACCATCCCAGGTTATTATGGCACGGTCGGTTCCGGCCAGCTAGGTTCGTTTTCCGACCATTTCCTTGCCGCCGGATTCCGGCCGGAAGTTCAAACGTAGGTTCCAGTCATTTCCCGATCGTTTCCTGCAAACTTTGAGCTGGAAACGGCCAGGAACTGATCGGATATTTCCTGTGCAATTTCGGCCGGAATCCGGCGGCAAGGAACCTGCCGGAACTTGCTGGAATCGGCGAAAACTGTGTCGGAATCGAGAAGAGCTGTCCCGGAATCGGCTCAGATTTCAACGGATCCAGTCGCCGGAATGATCGACCTGGGATCAAATCTCTCCAGTCCAAAGGATAATCACTCGTCTTCTCTAACAAATCAATGTGAAATAAATGAATTAAAACATCAAAAACAATATCGATCAGCTGAATCTATCAATACATGTATGACTAAAGCACGTTTATCTGGTATGATACCGAATTTGTTTTCTTCACATCGTCCACGTAGTGCCAATTGCTGACAAGACTCAATCATGGACCCTAAACAAATGGCGTTAATGAGTTTTCTCTTTTACGAACAAATTCAACTGATAAATATCGACATCGATCTATTGCTATACATCTGCGCACTTTGATCTACAGTAGGTTGTTCATTTAAATCTGATCTTCATACTCCATTCAAAATTCCTACATCATACAACCAAAGTCAGTCTTCGACACAATGATCTTTTCGCATGTCGTATTGGTATCATTTATTAATGTGTCTCATCAATACGATCGTTCCGATGATTGTGAAATTGAATTCGCTACTAAAACTATGTCAGACACTTCGCGACGAACTTTGGCCACTTCTTGAATCATCATCACCGATTGAAGATGCTGATCTTTCATGTTTTGATTCGGATGAAAACATTCGTCAATGTGGCTTGGTATCCCGACCCGGCATCTGTCAAGCTGCACAGCGATTACGAAGAAATAGTCGAACCAAACGTGGCTGTAATAATCAACTTTATACCAATGGCAAATCGGTGACTGCATACGATTTTGGAAGTTTCGAAATCCGATGTAATCGATCATTATGTGATGGTCCATTGACATTTCAAGCTGTTAAAGATGTTATGTTCAAATACAATATAACCAAAACAGTCGATGGTCAGTTAAGTCAAGGAATACGTCATTCACTATCGTTCATATTCGTTATTTTGATTATTATCCATTTAATATAATTGAAACAGGGAAAAGAATCTGAAAAAGAAAGCAGACACATATACTTTTCATGTTATTTTCTTAGTTTTACAAAGAAAAAAACAAAAACAAAACAACGGTTTTTTTTCTTATATTAAAGTTGAAGGATAAATTGTCCATTGGGTTCATGAAATTGCCTTCCAACATATGTCACCCATGCTGTAACACCGACAACCAACGATAATGCTAATAAACCCAAATCCGCAATTAAAAATCGCGATGAAAGTAAACTTAAGACTTGTAATTGACTAACTTCATAAGCAACACAGCCAATCAGGAATACATTAATTAAATTAATAACAAACGTTACATATGCATGACTTGTTGCATAGATATGATATTGTCGACCGAGAAAGTAGGAAAATACCAACGGCAGGAGAATAATTCCTAAGAGAATGATTAGAAAACCAAGTGCAATTAGTGATGCAAAGATGAAGAGATAGTCAGTTGTTAGGAAAGTGAATGTTGCATTTGCCACTAATAATATAAAACCGGTTAGAGAGTGATAGAAAGCTAAACAGCCTGCTAAATTTCCCCAACAAACACCGGATTTCCAATGGGAATTATAAACAACGTTCGAATCAACTTCCATATCGAATAAACAATGAAGAATAAACAAAGATCAGTTATAGGCAGAAACGAAAGAAAACACAATCGAATCAATTTTCTATTTTAGTAAAACTTTCATTGGATATTTTCTTTAGACATAAACGAACAGGAAAATTTCTATCACGTCAAATAGATTTTGTTAATGTTCCTGAAATTTAACCTTTGAAGAACTTTTGACATTGTACTTCATAATATTTCATAAATTAATCTATAAATAACATGAACTATCTCAGTCGGCTATTCTGAATTGCGATTGATCGATGTTTATTTATAAGTTTCTTCAAGATGAATAGATTCATTCAGATTGTATGGTGAAAGAAATTATGATTTGATGTGCGCAGAATATCTAATGAGTTTGACATTATCTACATGTGAATTCTATTTTTGAGACATGTAAGACTTCACGACAAAGGTACATGTTCCATGTAAGTCGAGATTAACTCTTATCTATATTTTATCGCATTTGACACATATAATTTGTTCATAATTACAATAGTAAGACATGATTTATCTCGTTATTCATGGGTTATATTGATTAGTAAAGGGAAGCATTCTCGTGACATTGCATATTTTCCTTTCGGATGGTGAAATATTTTACTGGTACGGGTTTTTCTTGATTATGAATAAGACAGAGTCAATATTTTTGCTTTTTCACCGTGATACTTTTTATTTGAGCTCACAATCACGATTGTCGTAGGAGGAGATATGAATTGACAAGTATTTAAATGGCAGTTTGTCGCCGAAGTTTCACAATCGAGTTTGTTCTTAGACAGTCCATCAAACTTAGTAGATAATTCGAATTATAAATGAATGAATTCAGATGTTATGCTTAATCATCACAAATTGAGATCAAACACATTCGATTTCGTCATGAGGATGATTGGTCGAGTATGTATTGACACTAAATATGATCGTGGAGGAGAAAGCGTTGGAAGGATTCCCTGAACATTGTTACTGTTGTCAAATTCGACATAATTCAAGTTATTTTGTCGCTTGTCATTTGTCGACACAAACTATTTTCCAGTGTTTTCTATCGTGACTTGTCGGAAGATGTTCGAACTCCAGTAGTACTCATCGAGGTTAAAGGAAAAGATTCCATATGAACTTGTTTTGTTAGATTTGATCATTATTTTCTTCTTTTCTCATTTTCTTGACGTTTTTCTCATTGAATTCAATTAATTTTGACGAAACGTGAGCTTTTCTCTGACGTTGGAATAAACCTATTTCTGATATATCTATGGAAAGCTTATATTTAGTCATCTTTTCTCTAATGACAGCATCTTGATTCATAACTCGTCGCGATGTACGTGCAGAAGAGTCTTAGTTTTAATTTATTTTTTTTGCCGAGATAAAAACCATTATGTGAAAACATCGGATTTTGTATATTCCCTGGTTTTGCCCACGAGCAGACTGTCTCAAGTGTTAAAAAAACGTTTTTTCATCGCATTTCTATGAAAGATTCAGAGATCAACCAGCAGGGCGCCTTCTTTTTCAAATTCTCACCATGATTATGAATGTATTGAGATATTCTGTTCGATTTGTTCTATTATCATTTATAAGCTAATATATGATAATTGAATTTGATAGAATAGTCAAATTTGCCGCCCCCAAACTATCTAATCTTGTCCTAAGAGAATTGCAATAATCATCTCTACACTTAAAAGATATCTGCAATTGACAAGTGATGACACATAAAAATTCCAGATGACATTTCTTCTTTCTCGTCTCTTTCTCCGTTGGAACATTACTTTTAATCAAAATATGAAAAAAAACAGAACAGGTGGTTTAGTTGATGCCTCCTGGAAAAAAAAACTTCGTCTTTGTCTTTTCTCTTTTCCTCCTACTATTTCTAGTTGAGTTTTTCCTATGTAGTTCTTTCATATTTCTCCTCATTCGTATGATAATGAGAACACACACACGCATCAACATCTATTCATTCCTTTTGCATCGATTAAACTTGCTTTTTAGGTTATTAAAAAGCAGTGCCTCCATCTTTTTCTTTGTTTTTGAGCAACTAACTCCTCCATCAAGCGTATATTAAGTATTGTTCACCTAATTTTCTTTTCTTTTAAAACAATAGATGAGAAGGATACAGAATAATTACTTTCAAGAGAATAACAAATGTATGGAGGAAAATGACTTTAAAATGTACGCATCAAACAGAGTATAGATGTCAACTTATCTTGTTAAACCTCTTTCTTTTTCCCGAAAGAGGTTTTTTGTATTAATAAATAGACAGCTGGACAGTTTTTCTTTCTTGTTATGCGAGTTTTCAGTATTTGATGAAAACAAGACGAGAACGTATGATTTTCTTTAATGTTAGTCATACATTGAGTCAATGTTTTGTGATATTTTCTATTTGTCAGGGGAAGCCTACTGGATATTGAACTGTTTGTCAACCTAGGATATATTTTTTATTCATTTTATGAGATTAAGTCAACAGGAAAGTTTTTTGTTGTCATTTTAATGATAGAAGACTGAGAGAGGAAAAGCACATATATAGTGAAGGAAATGAAATTGGCGTTTTAAAATATGTCATTTCATGATTTACTGTCTTTAACATGAAAGTCAACATTAGTCATTATTAAATATATGACAATCAAACTCATTGAGGTCTTGTATATATATTTGGGTACCACTAACTAGTTTTCTCTTCATTCGACTTCTTGGTCAAGATCTTATAAGTATGTTCTTTACTTTTTGATTAACAGATAATTGAATTTATGCTAAATGCAATAAGATAAGATTATTTAGAATTTTCTAGATGTTAAAGATTTGTTGATTAAATCTTCAAATATCAAAATATGCTTATTACGATTATTATTGGCAGTATTATAATTGTATGCGTGGTCTCATCGGTGATTTTCTACATATTCGTTCGTTCGCGAAATACTCACAATTATACAAAGAGTGAAAAGCAACAGATAATCAATTCTTTCAGACCATCGATGGGCATCATGACGAAAACATTCTGTCAAGATTCACCAATTCAATCAAAAAGCCTTTTATCTCAAAGAAACAGTCGTTTATCTTACCCGATAAACCAATATGAAATCAATGAATTAACACATAAAAAGCAACATCGATCAGCAGGATCTATTAATACAACAATTACATCAGCACGTTCATCCGGTGGTTTAGTCACTACATATCCTTTACATCGTCCACGTAGTGCCAATTGGAGACAAGGTTCAATCGTAGATCCCAAACAAATGGCATTAATTGAATTTTCCCTTCCCATACATAACAACAATAGTTACCGACGTCGATCTGTTGCCATATGTAATAGTATATCTGAACCAAAAGAGAATCCTCTCATAGCTCGCGATTCAACTTTACCATGTCTTCTTTCATTTTCCATGACATATTTGAAAAATTGTCAATTGAAAGTTCAACTTCATTCCATACAATCCTTACCTGCGAATCTTCATCTTCAACAGCTAACGATTAAGATCAAATTATCACCTGATGGAAAAGAAAAGTCCGTTCACATTAAGGCATCGATTCAACATGACACAGTTTTCGGAGGTGACCATTCGGTTCTTTTCTCGAATATTTCCTTTGAGAAACTTTCCGAACGAATTTTGACAATGTCAATCCATGGAAAAGATCAAGCGAAGAAAACTATACATCTCGGTCATGTCGGTAAAATTCATTTCAATCAGATTAACAAGTTACAAGTTGATAATCAAATCAATTTCATGCATGAAGTGGAAAAAACGAAACATGTATGTCAAGTTGTATTCTTCTCAAAATAGAAAAATGCATATATCTCTTTTTCTATTTTAGTCATCTGTTGAAGTACTCGTTTCTCTAGCAAAAACTGATGATCAACATATGCGTGTCGACCTTCAACGTATTAAAGGATTGAAAATAGATCAAAAGAGACTTGGTAAGTTCGTCTTTTGTTCTTCTGATGCCAATCATTTGTATTTTTAGATGCAAAATTCTATCTACAAGTTCTCCTACTCGATCGTCACCGACCATTGTCTATCAAACAAACCAACTTTTTCGGATTAAACTCATCAAATTTAACTCTGGATGAACATTTCGATTTCAATGTTTTAAGTTACAACTCCAATAATTTCGATCGTTTGATGCTCATGATCAATTTATACTCAAACAGCAATTCGCTAAGTACCTATAAATGTGTGGCTCGCGTAAAACTCGCGTCAAGTTTATTCTGTTCTGGCAACGGCATTGTTCATTGGCAACAATTTCAAGCGCGAGGATCATTTTCCATGTGGCACACATTGAACAAAGAACAACATTGAAGTTCGATGAACGAATAAGAACTGAACGAATTGTAGTTTTGTTTTTGAGTGATACGCTGGAATCCATCGTTTATTTTTCGTTTTTTTTCTTTTCCATCGATTATCTTAGTTTTTCGGAAAAGGATGACAATAAAACAAGGCAAAAATTGACATTTATTCCAATTGTCAATACAGGGAATTCTTCAATAAAAGTTAAGATCGAAGAATGTGGATAGATTCTCATGTTTGAAGAGTATTTTGCATTGCAATGACGTCAAAGACTTTTCTCCTTCTCCTATAACATGAAAGAAAAAGCTGTAGGAAATTATCAACACTCTCCAGATCTGCGTAGAAAGAAAAACAGGAAATTAATATTGCATTTAATCATTTTAAACTTAACAAAGAAATGTTAAATTTATTTACGAACAATCGAGATAATCTTTCATAATTACTTGACAATATATCCTGAAGAAAGTTAATTTGAAATAATTGAATAAATCTATTTCTCGACAAATAAAGTATGCGCATTGACGTCAGCGGATATCTCCGTACAGAACCATATACCTCGTTGAATATTTTTCATCTTTTCCTCTTCTCATAAATACTGAATCAGATAACGTTGGTTATTCCGAACTTCACGTAAAACTCCTCTTCACAAATTGCCTTTAAGTATAAAATCTGATAACAAAAAACGTCGTACTACATCACATTGCCATAATATATAATTAAATGCGAAGGACGGAAACATATTTTTTTGTAATTACTTTACAATACTCTGTAAAATACATGATTTTTAATGGTCTATGGTATTTCTTACATTTTAAATAGACAATTCAATGCTATTCTTGTTTGCACTAAGCTATATTACTGTTACGTCAAAATGACACTATGTACTAAAAGAGAGTTTGATGAACTAAACGTGCTTAAGACTGGAAAAAAGCAGGGAAAGTCACATGAGAAAACTAAAATTAGAAACAAATACTATTCTCTAAATTTATACATAGCGTTTTCATGTGACTTTAATTAGACCAGAATTAAAAGTGTATCTCTCAGTTAATTTAGTTTAATTAGTAGCAAAATATCTTTCGCCATGACGTTCGATTGTTTCGATATTCTTGAAATTTGATGGATGTCAGCAATCTATGAAAATCGAGGTATTTTTGTTATACGTACGTTCTATTCACCTGTTAAACATCGAACTCTAATTTATCAATGATTCTTCTTTTCTAGCAAATAATTTCTCACATAATAGATGATTATCTGACGCTCAATGAATTCGAAAAGAAAAAATGCATTGTGAATTTCTCATGCGAATGACAAGAAAGATATGGTGCACATTCAACATACTTTTTCAATGTTTTCATATTATTCAAATACTCTCACCACAAATCATCAACGTACTTCTTCTTCTTCTTCTTCAATAAAAACACAACTTGAGTTAACACATTATTCATCAACGATAATAATTATTCTGGTTTCTGATTGTTGACTATGATAGAAGAGATGAAATAGAATCTCTTGTAATAGTCGATGTGCAACACTGCATTTTAAGGATAAGTTCACAACAACACATGGGATAGAGTTGGAAGTGTACTCATATGATCGCCATAATAAACACAGAAACAGGAGCTGTCAATTTACTCAGAAAGATTGTCTCGAGCCTACTCCTACATAATAACACGTTTGTCTTTTTATCGATTAATACAGATCAGTGTCATTCCTTTCAACTGAGTTCTTCCTTCATAGAGTGACGCATCTCGTACTTTCTGTGATAAAATATCACTTTAATAGATTTTAACGTGATTATAATGCTTGTTCGAGCATTCGTTTACCTTTTTTTCGTAAACATGCTGTTTTAGGATGACTAACTGATCGGAGCGAATTGTGAAAGCACATTCTCCACAAATTCATGATGATCATATGTCGCTTTATTCTATCATGTCAATTCAACTGTAAGAATCCAATAATAGAAATTATCTTTCAGTATCAGTGATCGTTTCTCTTTCCGTTAGTTCTTTTGTGGACGATAAAACTATATGTAACTTTCGTCGAATCGAATTCTTCTCACTGTTAATCACATTTTATGGTTTGTGGACCGAATAAAATAAATAGGCCATATTGTTTTTCTTTTCTTTCTGGTCGGCGGACCTAAGTTTATTGAATTGTTATCAAGTACATTCTACAGCTATTGTTTCCACGGACTGATCATACACCCGTATAAATATCCCGATACTGATCAGATTTTTCTTTTATACAAATCAACAATCTTCCACCACTTTATTTCGTCGTGTACAAACATCTTCAAGCAAAATGAACAAGTTTATTATTGCTCTCTTCGTCGTTTTTCTTATTCAAATGGTGTTTCAATCAAATGTTTTGATCAATGCTAATGATACTATGGTTGTTGAGATGACTACTACCCCACCTGTACTCGAAAAGCCCAAACTGACTCGCCGTCGTCGATATTGTACGTTTATGAATGGCCAATCACTATGCCGTAGGAATGTTGAATGTACGCCTGACGAATTTGGACTTCTTTCATGTGTGGCTAAAAAATAGTTTCTTCTTGAATATGTGTTTATGTATGTGTATCAATGTTATTTCTCTAGAATAAAGTCTAACAATGTAGAAAGTAATCGACCTTTTTATTTATCGATATGATAACGTGTTCAGTTATGAACTAACTACATCTGATAACATGAGGAAAAGACAGTGATAGAATGATAATAGAGAATATAAATATGGATTGTTGTGTGTATACGACTGTAGGAATGGAATTCAAAATGATCAAGAATCACTATTATCATAAGTACATAACTTCGATCGTAGAATTCAGATCAGAGTCAAACTCTGCTGAATCAGTTTTGTAATTATCCGTAGACCATTGCGATGAATTACGAAGAGTTGATTGTCGAAACCAATACGTATCGATAGCATTGCAGATGAAAGTAAAAAGAAAGATAGCAAGAAGACAAGCAAGTAGAATAATATAAAGTAGATAAATGAGATTTCGAAGAGTGAAATGTACACAAGAAATATTATCGTTCACAACGATAGTTTTACCCCTACACACAGGAGACACTGACATTCATTTTAAACAATGAATAGAATTACTTTTTCGAAAGGAAGTCTTCATTTTGATCAACTGGTGACGACTGATTTCCAACGCCATCGATAATTGGTAAAACTGAACTTATGACAAATCTAAACATTCATGTCTTAGTAACGGTGAGAAGATGCATAACCTACCGTTTTTCATCTAGATGTTTTCCTTGCTCCAAAGAAACACACTCAGCATCTGCTCTATGACCCAGTATTCGATTTCCATTCAACGATCGTTCTGCTTTCGTACTAGGAAAATCAAAATGAACTGATCGGATAGATGTCACTAAATGCTGAATAAACCACATAGTTTCGTTTCTTATATTCGACACGAAGAAAATCAGAAACAAAACTCCAACAATATAATTTAGCATTTTAAAAATTTCGTCGATCAGTATGACCTAAAGCTGAAAATCTATTCGTACAAATGGACCAATCTTATACTGTTATGAGCAGACCAATTAAAATCTTTCATCATCAGGTATTTTTCTATATTTTTGAAGTGCAAACAAAACTAATACTCACATCTCCATCAACAGCGAGTCAAAACTCGAATGACTGTATTTTCTATCTTTTGACAATTCACATCTATCATCACTGTTATCTCGCTTCAAGGTTGTCCATTAATTATAACTTGTACAAAAACAAAATCGACCAATGCAACGTCGTTCTGTTCCTCGTACCGATCCTCGGTATAATCAAATTCGTGCAAGAAATAACGATAGCGTGAAACGCTCACGAGAAAAATCTCGTCGTGAACGTGATGAAACAGTCGAAGCTATAAGTCAGCTCGAAGAAGAAAATAAGCAACTAGTCGAACAAATTCAAACGATGAAACGAGAGTTCGATCAACTACAAGATTTATTCAAACAACATACGGGAATAGCCGTAGATCAGTTATTATCGTCAGAAACGAACTCAACTGAGTCACAACCGATCGAGCAATCGAAAGTAACTTTGCCTCCTCCTCCCCCTCCTCCTTCGCAATCATCTTCATCGCAGCCTGTTCTAACAATTAATACAAACGAAGTCCAGACAAATGCAACAACATCGGATGTTCAACTTGATCCAACTACGCTCGACGGAGCGATCGTTTTAATAAACGGTGTTCAATATAAGATTGTTAGCATGAATAAAAACTAACTATTCAGATGCTTTGCTCTCTCTATGTATATAGGAACGAAAATTCAACCTTCATTCTATTTTTCAGATGAATTTTCCTGTATATATTCTATTTACGTTCTTTCTTATCAATCAAGTAATATCAACGAATGATCAGACAAAGAAGAAAAGAGACTTTTATTGTTCAGGTATGATCAGATATATATTCCTGTGAATCTGTGAGTTATTTGTCTTTAATTCAGCATGTAAGTTCATGAGCGATACAATATTTCGTGAAATGAATAATGTCGATCCCAATGAACGTGTTCAAGTCGGTTCGTATCGTGTCGACGGCCACGGACATCAAAAATTGAAAGATGTAAAACACTTTCCTCTCTTTTCGCTTCGTATCATCTCTATTTTTCTGTAGGTACCAATCACCGAAACAAGATACCATGCGGAGAATGTTTTAGATAATATTTGCACAAAATTTCTTGATAAGGGTAAGGATGTTTTCTTTTACCAGCAAGAAATCAATGTCGAATGGAACATTTGTTTAGATATGATACCCAAACAGCTGAGAAATATTTATGAACATGCCGTAAGTAATTGTTTCGAGTGAAGATTTTCTTTCCTTCAATTTGATCAATAAGTTCAGATCGAGTTTTCTCTCTCTCTTTATCTTCATTATTGTGTATGTGCTATTAACATCCGTTTCCTGCATTATGACTTCGTTCATTCCCTGTTGAATCGATTGAGCATATTTATTAGGTAGACACCATCAAAAAAAAAATATATATGAGTCTTGCTTTGTTGACATTTCTTCTTTGGCGTTGTCGTCGTATAATTAAAAGTAGACAAATATCTCTTTCTCTTTGCCCATTTTTTTTCTATTCAAATAAAGCAGAAAGAACGAGATTGACGATGGAGAAAAAAAAAGAAAATTCGAATAAGTAAGGGTAGTGCGTCAATATTAGTCGTGTCTGAATGATGATTGTAAACGCTTGTGAAAAAAGATCTCCATTACAGCAAATGAGAAAAAGCGATGATGAGAAATGATTTCCATCTGTCATTCAGAATAAAAAATCGACGTTCTTTTTCTAAACATTCTGGTCGAACAAGATTGATGAACGAACGATTATCCNTTTCTTCTCATCTGGAATAATGTTGAAAAACGACTCGTGCACGCATGGTAATTGATACTGCTGTGACGACGGGCAGCAACCACCAGATTTATGTCAATACAATTAGTCAAGCAACGACTAATGACAATTGCTAGTGAAGGTGATGATGATGATGATGACGACAATGATTTGCTTCTTTACTCTCACTGACATTTACATCAGACTGAGTGTATATGTATGTATATATGAAAGGAGAACGGATATTGATCTTTTCTTGCGGCTACTCGCTTCGTCACCATCATCTCTACATGCCTGATAATGGCATTTGTACCAGAGAAACATGGCAACTAAAATAATGCCATATGTTAAGATAGATCATCAGAGACAGAGTTTTATGTACAAATCATCAATAACATTTGTCACTATCGACTTTTTATCGCACGACGACGCATTTTTTCTCGAGAAAAAGACTTTTCTTATCTTATCGTCGATAGTCGCATCGTATCGAAGAACTGACTTTCTGAATGAAAATCTACATTTGAAAAACTTCGTCACTAACAGTGAAAGACTCCAATCTCGTTCAAAACATTTTTTCTACGCAAAGAAAACTGATTGGCATCGGACATTTTCTCGAAGAGAAATGTTCACTTACGTATTCCCATAGTAACATAATGTTAACGCTAAAGTTGAAGACACACTGTTCCCAATCGATCTGTCATCAATTGTCGTTCTTTTATAGCACGACTTACTTTCTTCTGGAGAGATATTTTTTTCTCTTTCTCACGCACAATCCATTTTGCCTCCAACGTCGACATTCTATCACGATAGAGAAGAAGAGAAAAAAAAAGGAAAGTTCTCATTCTTTTTTCCTTTGCGCACACATATATCTTGGAAACATACATGAAACCTTGTTTATTGTATACATGCGCTCGTGCATCTCAAAGCCCATAAACAATCGAAAGATAAAGAAAAAAAACCGAGAGGACATAAGAGGAAATGAGAAAGATTTCCCTTGTTCTCTCCACGAGTACTGTAATGATGATAGCATCTTCCTCACACACATGGCATCGTTCCTCTCTCTCTCTCTCTCCTTCCCCGATTAAATCCGTTGCGTCGTGCAATCATTCGCAGTCATCATCTTCATCGATTGTCGACTCTATATGCACACTCACATACATATATCTCTGATAAAGAATGAATGAAAAAAATCAATGTAGAGACGGAGAAAGAAAAACCTAGGAAAAATCGTTCAGTCTAGTTGCATGTGGATGACATTAATCAATGAAGACAAAGAGTACTTACATTGTCGTTCGAACATGCATTCTGCTTCAATAGAAATTCATAACGGAAAATAAAAGAAAATGAGAAGTCGATTTCGATCTTCTAATGATTTATTTTACAATGCGAAGACTTCGTTGATAACAACACTTGACGTCATAATGAATTTGATCCAACTATATCAGCACAACATAGAGACAAATCCATATCGCATCATGGCAAGCATGTGCTCAATACAAGCAAAAAGACGGCGACTATTAGAGAGAGAAACAAGACAAATTCATAATGTTATTCGTATAGGCTTTTTTCCCTTTCATTATCCATAATTCTTTATTTACTTATCGATACTCAGCTAATGCTAAGAAGATTCTCTTAACTCGAACTAAATAGTTTGTTTGTCGCATTTAAAAATAGAAAGCGAGCTAAGCGCACCAATAAATGCTTTTATTTGTCTAATAATAAAAAGCAAATCTAATCCACTTCTCTGGTGATCTTTTATATCGTTCGTATGAGCAATTCGAGTATAATAGAAATAAATAGAGAACGGCCACAGCTATAAATATACCATTTACTTCATTATATGATCATTTGCTTCTTTCTCATCATTTATTTTTACAAGATTAATTAGTAGTCGAAATTGACATTTCTCTTCAGTTTGTTTATTCTCTTCAGCAAATCATCAGCTCGGAATTAATTCGTTCGGCAAACTCAAGTCAAATCTTTTTCGTGAGAAAAAACCTTCATCGAGAGTTCGATATTTCACAATGGCATACCAGTCGCCAGGACGTCGATGAGAATACCTCGATCAAATGGAGGTACAATCAAGATCGCTTCTGTCAATTTCATCCATATAAATGAAGAGATATTATTCGCATTTTTCGCTTCATCTGAAATTATCCAGAGAAAAAAGTCACGAAGTTTCGAACTCGAGATTAATTTACCAGCAATAGCATATTTCATGGATTTCATTTCTGGGATACGCCAATCTTTAGATTGAATTTTCCATACACTGGATTCTACCCACGCATGATCGGTGTTTAATGGATGATCAACATATCCATTGTCGAACTAAGGGAAGACATTCTTCAAATGAGAGTTTGAGGAGGTCTTGAAAATACATACGACACTTTTGTTACATCCTTTTTGGGAAAAGATTTCAGCGAATTCTTCTTTTAATTGTTTTTCATTTAGGACGCGTTTGAGATGATTTATTGAATTATTCATTTCATTTAACTTCGTAGTTTGAGACCACCAATAATCGAGCAGATTGGGTGGGAGAATTTGTCCGGAAACAGGATCTTGAATAATTTTGATTTGATTGTCAATTCGAACTTCATGTCCGTAGAAGCCCTTGATGATTATCGAAGAAAGAAAAGAAATCTGGAAAAAAGTCGGAGAAAAAACTTACTTTTGGTATCACCAAAGCATTTCCATGGTGTTTCATCAGAACAACTTCAGGTTCGTAATGATTTCGTAATAAGACAACAACAACACAGTGATTCGGTCCCCAGAAAGGTAAATCTCCTCGTCCGGCAATTCCTGTTCGGCAAACCGGATTGATTGGCACGTCATCATGAACTTGATATTTTCTTTTCGTGTCATAATCCATGAAATACGAACGTAGATCATTAACAACTAAAGGCATACGATTGTTTTTCGTAAAACCATAACGTTCATTCCAGCGTGTTTCATCTTCGCGACGTTTTAGACGAATTTCGCCAAATTGTGGTTGCTGGACTCGGTCGTATTTTTCATTCAATCGTTCATTATTCGGAAGAAATTCCGATGGCAAATACGGCTTATTGTCATCAGTTTCGACCATCCATAGAGCGATATCTTTATTTACCGGATATCTTTCAATTGCTCGACCATTACCCTTTGTATCAGAAGCCAAGACAACCTCTCAATTATTGAAACGATGAAAATATCTACCGATAGAAATGGATAAGTTCCTTTCGACGATGCTCGATTGAGTAACGATGGATCCCATGGACGTATCAAAGCTTCTCGACTACCGATCATAGTCATATTGTTAAAGACGATCGAATCCATCATGTAGGATATCTTATCGTAATCTTTCGACGGATTTTCGATCGCAGTTCGTGTTGACGATGCGTATTGTTCGAGACCATGTTGTTGAATTAGCCGATCGAGATCTTTTTTTTGTAAGGAAAAGAAAAAAGTAAATTTATTTTAATGAGAAAACTAATTCTGTGCGCACGTGTTCCATTATCAAAGTCAATTGGTTGTTTAATAATAGCTTCGACGAGAGGTAACGCATTTTGAGATAATTTCGGCCAATTATCACGAATTGTTTGTTCAGATATGTATGTCACATAACGTGATTTCGTCAGATATCCAGATGGAAGCGAAAAATGTTTGTTTTCACTTCGCTGATGAATATGACTCGGTGAGTTAGCTGGAGAAAATCAAATGATTTGAGGTTTTATCAATCGATGAGCGAAACGTACATGCGTGCAAAGGACTGTTTCGATTAGCAGTTGCATTAGTTTTATTCGAACTGTTATTGACACATAAATCTTTAATTTGTTGAATTAACTAAGAAAGAAAATTCTATTTGCTTTTGCGTTGTTTGCATAGAAACATACCTTTTGAATATCACGATCGTTTTGTGTTGATGGCGATTGTTCGATACGTTTCAAATATTGCTGGATAGTCGACGAAGGTACATTTTCGGAATTTTGAATTGTTGTTTGAAGTGTTAATAAATTGGCCATGAGATTCGCAGTTTGCCCATCAGATAGAACAGATAGATTGCTTGGATCATGAGATTGCGATGAGCCTAATGGAGCCTGTCGAAGATTAACAGCACTGCTTTTGTCATCATCAGGCATTGAACGTTTCGATTTTGTTGACATTTGCTCAGGTAAACGTTTGACTGTCTCATCGAGATTTTTCAATCGATCGTGAACATCTTTGATCAGATCTACAACGAAAGATCATTGTCAGATATCAATGAAAAGATGATCCTATTCGAACCTAATCGTTTTGGAATGTCTCCCATAGCGGGTAGATTCTGATTGAGATGAGTCAACTGTTGATGAATGTCGTTCAAGAGTTTATCTCTTGTATGTTGCTTATCGAACTGTTCATCTAATTTCTTCAAAGTGTTAGTTAATTCAGGTGAAGGTTTTTTGATTGGATCATCAATTTGTTTCGGTTGGATTTGATCGAGTTTTTCCGATATCTGTCGAACTTGTTGGTTGACGTGATTCAGTGGATCGAAAAGTTGGTCGATTTTCTTGTCGAGTCCAGTTGACTACGATTGAAGGCATAAATCAAGGAAAAGATTAAAGAACATAAGATTTACATCTTTCGAATGCATATCTTTCGTTGCCGTTTCCACCGGAGATCCTTGCTTTTGTGTGAATTCGTTTAATTTCGCAAGAAGACCATCGGATATTATTTGCTGTTGATGTTTAATACTTGTTGCCATTTCATTGAGTTTATTCATCAGAGGATTTATGATTTCAGCCGATTTTGGCGTCGTTTCAAAAGATTTCGACAAGTGTTGTTCGAGATTGTTCAATTTCTTGGTTTCATTTTGTTGTTGAGCTTGAGACTGTTCGATACCTAGATGAATTTCATTCGAAAGATGCAGAGATTCTCATCGAATAACGAACTATCTTTTAATGTTTTAATAATTTGGGAGAATGGATGAAGAGCTTTCTCAATCTCTTGCGATGTTTCCGGCCGTTTAGGCGATTCGACTAATGCTTGATTCAATTTTTTGTCTAGATTTGCTAATGTTTGATTGTCTTGATCTTTCGACTGAGTTTGACGTTCGAGATCTGCAACGAAGAACGAAAACGAGATTTTTTCTTAAAAAACTAACGGTATTCATACCTTGTTTGATCACCTTGATTGATTGTGCTAGTGGATCAAGTTTCGCTGAGATTGTTTTGAGAATTTCTGTTTGGGATTGAGATTGACGAAGGTCGTCCAGTTTTCTCGGCAATTCACGAACGATTTCTACTATTGGCTGTTGTTGTTTAGACAAATTATCCACAGCTTGTTGAAGTGTTTGAGTACGTGTTTGAATCTCCTTACCGATATCCGCTAAGTCAAGACAAATAGAACGTATTTGTATGCTTTTTTTTACAGAATAACTCACGTTGTGAATCTGTTCGTCTTTTTGTTTCGTGTTCTTTTTCGAGGTTTTGACCTAAATGATTCAATTTCGAGTCGATATTCTTGATTAAATCTTGTTGTTTTGCAAGATCGTTTAATTTTTGTACAATTGGTTGAAATGATTTATCCAGTTCTCGATTGAGATTGTCCGAATCTTTCTGTTGATGCTGTTTTAATTTCTCCAAAATCGGTGCCAGTCGTTTGATTTCATCGAGCAATAATGTTTGCTCTTGTTTACGTTTATGATCATCCGGCAATGAAAGTTTCGCCTGAATATCTGCTAGTTTCTGTGCGATCTCACCTATTTAAAGATAAAAAGAAAAGGAAACTGGATCAGTATTCGAAATCCTCGACTGACTTGTGACACGCGGATCAGATAAATTAGATAGCGCAGGTATTATCCCGTTCATACATAGCGGCGTCCGACTCGGACTATTACTATCTGTCGTTAGACTTGGTGAGCCTGATGTGCAAAATAAAGTCTTTCATAACGAGGGAATTGAGATGGTTTTAATCTTAACTACGTCTTACCTAATTTTTCTCCTCCGTCTTTTTTGCTTTGCACTTCGCTCTTCTGTTGTTCGAGAAATTTTGCATTAAGAAATTCTTTCATTGGTTCCATAATGTAGTTCGGTTGATGTTTGATTTGATGATCGATGTCATCTAATTTCTTCATGACTTCTGGATGAGGTTTGACCGTTTCGGCGTGCATTGCCTTGACACGATCGTTGATTTTCATTAAGGTTTCGCTTGTGTGCGGTGAAGCTTTATGGACTGGGTCGATTTTGGTTTGGATATCTTTCATCATGGCTAAATGTTCTGGTTGAGATTCTTTTAGTTTTTGATCGATAGCGTCGATCTTGCGTGCGAGAATATCCGGTTTAGTTTTTTCTTTTTCGAACGATGATTGAAGCGTTTGAACAACATCCAGAATAGGTTTGAAATCATTCTTGGTCGGAATTTGTTCTTTGAAATTCTGCAAATCTGTTGAGTACCGTTTTCGTTCTTCGTCGTGCGATGTTCCTAAACAACAAGTCGACATTTTCTTCAATATAAAGCTCTGTCTTACCTAAATTATCCAGTTTATGAAGAATTTTATCGATTAGATCTTTAGAAACTCCATTCGTTTTCTGGAATTGATATAAATCTTGTTTAATTTCATCAAATTTTTTATTTAAGTCTGCGTGTAATTTCTGATTGACTTTCTGTAATTGTTCATCGATTGGTTTTGATTGATGGGCTGCTAATTGATCAAGTTCGGCTTTGAAATGATTGAAACGTTCTAATAGTTCTTTGAGAATTTTCTCTTGGCCGACGCTTTCAATTTTAATCACACATGACTCGCCTTCTTTGTCAACATGAATTTGACAATCATCTCGTGTTTTATTTCCACGATCTTTCGACGATGATGAAGATGTCATGAACAGAATATAATTGCCAAAATAAAATATTTCAGATTAATGAACGAAATGTAAATTTTTTGCAAATAAAAATACAAAACAGCGCCTTACAGTCAAGAATATTTATTGAGATTGAATAATATGTCAGTGGAAACGGACAAAGATATTGTTGCTGGATTACACACATTCATCACAATCGATGCATTAGCGGTGATATTATGAATGGGTCGAGATCTTGAACTATCCCGACGAAACTAGTAGAATAAAGTGTGTGTGATGAGAGGGCTGAGGAAAACAACTTTGGCGCAGTTATGTCAACTATGCACGACATCTTTGATGCGTAAACTATGTTTAATAGAAAAACCAGCCAATGGATGGAATCGGATTTTGACAGTATACGAATTATAAATGAGAAAGCATTTGTGTTTTTAGTATATTTATTATGTTTTTCTCTTCCTACGAAAGTTTGACATAGGACGTAACAGACGATATTTTATTGTACTATAAATCTATTTCTCATTTAACAGTATGATTTGCGCTAAGATAGAAGCCGTACATTATTTATTCACATGGTTGTTTGTGTAGGGGAAAAATAATAGAATTAAACTGGTTTTTTTTAGAAATAAGTTTAAAGTAAATCATGAATCTAATGAACTTCGGCCGTGAACAATTGGATAATGGGATGCTGAATAATATGTTAAAACAAGTGGGCATTAATGATGTCGGACAATTTGTGGATCAATTTCGTGGTAAAGTCAACCAAGAAGCTGCCTCAGCACAACAAACTAGCACAGCGAGTTCTCAGCAACCCGACTTTATGTCGATGGGATCATCGTTTCTCAACCAAGTATGCTTGAGACGCAAAGATTTGTGTAATTTACATATATTGACGCGTTATCTACTTAGCTCGGTGGCGGAAGTAACAAAGGAAAGGGTAATAGCAATGCTGGTGATTTAATCGGGGGCGCCATGAATGCTTATAAGATGTTCTCTGGTGGCAAAGGTGGCGCTAGTGGAGAAGGACAGAGTGGCAATTCTGCTGACATGGTTAACAATGCGATGAAAGTTTATAAAATGTTCTCGGGCGACAAAGGAGCAGGTACAAGCGGCAGTGGCGCTACAGGCGGAGGTGGTAACATCTTTGAATCTATTGGTATGTACTTCAATCGTTCTGTTCCGATTATAGATAGACTGTTTTTTATTAGGCGGGGCATATCAAAATATTCAACAAGTTCAAGGTTTACTTAAAAAATTAGATCGTAATGGTGATGGTAAAATTACCATTGACGATATTCAGCTTATCCTTCAGGGATTAGGTTTGGGTTCAGTTTCCACAAGTAAATTGTTATTTTGATGTATTTGTGTATCTAAGTACCATATTTGAACTGGTTTAGATGTATCTAAAGCCTTGTTCAAAGCCGTTGATCGTAATGGAAATGGTGAGCTTGATATAACCGATGTGATGGCATTGGCCGCGATTGTCAGCAAACTCCAAGCTCGATTTGGATCAGGTGCAACTTCACAAGCTCAAAATGTTCCACAAAATTGAAAAAGTAGAAAAAACTCATTTTATTTTTTTTAGTTAGTGTAGCGATCTAGTCGGTTTTCAAATCTCTTGTACTAAAAGTCGTTTGTGAAGTATCATCATCTATTAGTACTATTTCATCTATTTTCAAATAAACAGGCAGTTACGAATAACCGGATTTTATTTAAAAGAAGGAGGGAAATCGTGTTTATCCAATGAAGATAAGAGGAAATTGTGGTACTGTTGATTATTCATCAACGTTCGCAGATCCAAGTATAAGCGCTTTTTGATATGCATTAAATTTGTCTAATGACAGTTTGGGTAGATCTGTGTTGATGCCACCTGGAAAGAAAACGATCTATTTTTTATGAAAGATTAGTACTTTCAAGAACTTTACCTCCTAGACAGAGTTCTGTGCTCCAGTGTGTTAACGTGCAATTATTTTCTACCATCTGTTTTCGTTTCTCACGAAATTCTTCGAGTGTCTGACCTTGTACGAGTGAGGCTGGACTCATACAAACATAAGCCACAACACGTAGAAGATCGACAGATTCATTTGGATCTCGTTTTTCAATGTTAATTGCCGGTGAATTACAATGCACCGTGCGACTATCCCAAAGAATAAGATCGCCAGCTTGACAGTGAACTAATTTACCACGAGTTTGACCTTGATTCATAATCGGATGTGTATCAGGAACTTTAGCGAAATCCTTCGTATTTTTAACAACATCTGCTAGTTCATGAAACCGTAAATGTGTTTTCGGATAGACAATCAAACCACCTGTTGTTTCGTTTTGATCTGTTAACGAAACCAAACCTTGAATACAGCAACGACCAGGTTTAACTTTCGGATTTTGATCAACATGATTCCAGCCACCTTGGGTTTTCCAAGTAGAATCATAACGCCAATCACGAAATATACCACAACCATCAAATGAAACAAGTAATTGCGAGTCGTTCCAGATCTGTGTAAAAACTTGTTTGATTAATGGATTTGATCGAATGCTCCAGAGAAAGTCCGATTGACCAATACCATTTCCACTTACAACACCATGTGTACTGAAACTTGGCCTAAACAAAAGTTGATACGTATAAAAATCAGACTGACATCGATCATTTTCTTTACCAATTGTTTGACCAAGTCTGAGGATCGTGACGTTGAATCGTTCCATTGGAGACATTTTCAAGAAACTGCCATAAGAGATCTTTACTTTGATTGATTTCATCAGAATTCATAATATCACTGATAACAACATAGCCATTTTCATTCAAATAATCCAACCCATGTTGCAAAGTATCCTTGTTTGTTACTGAAAATCGTGGAGACACTGTAGTATAATCGATTGTATTATTTGAAGCAAGCATATTGAATCAAAAGGGCAAGTAATGCCCCATGTCTACAAATTTGTGCGTTCTTTTATAGTTTGTTCGATTGCTTGAATTTCGCAATACTTGAATACAGCAAAGCAAACATTAGTCATATACACTTACATGCGTAATGTTATTTTTCAAAAAGGAAGTGCTATTCGATAGGTAATTACACTTTTACAATTGTCGAAATCGACTACGTCGAATCATGTCTATGTAAGATCATCATTCTCTCCGATAAATTGGATCACACCGACTCTTTTCTATAAGCTAAAATCTCCCAATGAGAAAGTAATCTTTAGTCGTGAGAGATTCCAATGATCAAGATTTGAAATCATTTGAAGAAATTTTAAATGATATCGTGATCTTTATCGATGAAATCATATTTCTTTATTTTTTAGCATTTTCCTAGTTTCATGTTTGTCACAGTCTAAATCGCCATGATTATTTCAATATTGCACATTAGTTTTACAAAAAAAAGACACTTTAATCATAATTTGTACCATGTTCAAGTTGGTAAGCCTTTTCCCCACAACGGTATTCGTTCACTTTCAATAAAAACGAGCATTTGGTTGATATTTCCCACAATCGTGTCGCTAATTCTACGATGAATTTCATTATTTACATAAAGCATTGCCAAATTTCTCGTGATACACAAGACGATTTGAATAAATTGAGCAAAACGAGCTGCAGCTCTGCCATAGCCATATTGATATGTCAAATATTTCCATAACAATTCAACATAGACATTTTGACTACCTAGGAGACGAAAAGTTCCATACAATAAAGTATCCATTTCCATATTTCGACCAGTATCAACATAGCTTTCTGATGAGAAAGTGAGAATAATCAGAGCTATTTTGATGGTTGTTTCATTGAAATCTAATTGTTCCATGACATGTTTGATCGCTGAGATGATATTCATTCCGTAGATAGCTTCAAATGCATTTACATAATTTGAATGATTAAAAATACCGATTTGCCGGAAAACAAACGTGGAATAAAAGCCCATCACACCGTGTAAATTTCGATTCAATAGTGAGATTTGTTCATTTTGCGTCAGAATTCGAAAGTCAGGCAGTGAACTAATAAACAAGATCACTGACTTGCATATCTGATTGAGCATATCCATAGGTTCGATGAAATCTTTCGTGGTCTCATCAATTGACTTCGATGAATTATTGAGTATTTGTTTAATATGTGAAATTGTATTGCACGTGTCGTATGCGTGTACTATATTCGATAATAACGTCCATTGAGAATCAGAAAGAATCGTTCGATCTTGAGACTGGAAACGAGTTATAACTATTCGTGATGTTGTCTAAATAGAACGATAATTATCAAATGAATTTGTAGGGCATTATGATACGAACGGTGATTTGAGTGTTCTTAGTTGACGACAAACGTTTGGAACTTTTCAAATCTTCTTTTCGGATCAGATCCGATGCCATACCCGCAGCAAAGCATTTAGAAAGGCGACAATACGTACAACTATGCCGTGTTTGCATGTTTATTTCACAATTACTGACCAGTGTACATGGACGCACGATCTGTTAATTAGTCAATGGAAAGTTCGAGTAAAATTATCAGTAAACACAAACTTCTGGTCGAAAGCCATTGCGTCGAAAGAAGGTTTTGCACGATTGACATGATAACGCGCCGTAATTGTTGAAGCGTGCTTTGTCACCGCAGATAACACATACACTGAAGTTTGATGGGTTGTTTGGTGGCATTCGAGCAGAATCATTCGGAGCTTGCTGTGGATAAATAAGCAAGTGTTTTCTCGCTGACATTTAATGATTTACTTCAGCGAAAGATTCTAAAATAAAAACAATGGATCAAATCGACTGAACTTTGTGTTTTGTCTAGAGGTTCCACTGACTGTTCGAATAGAAACAGTTAATATCAGTCAGTCGAACATCATCATGTAGAAAAGAAAAGGCGAAGATTATTTTTCGCCATATTTTTCTTACTTTTATCTTACTACAAGTATTATCATTAGACTTGTACAGTTAACAGACGGACTAGAATAGGCATTCGTCGAAAGGTTAGTTAGGTCTACTATGACTGAATACATTCTTTTGATCTATAACACGGATAGAGTAACTAAACACTAATAGATTCATAAATGATGACTAAAATTCAACTTTCTTATGAAGATGATGTTACACGAAAAGAAAGTTCTCGAAAGTCTCGTTGGTTCATCTCGAGATGAGATCGTCATTGGCTCTTTACGATTGCTAACGTTTGAAGATGTTTTTTTCACCTGCAAGATTTTACGCATGCGGTTTATTTACTGAGTTTGGATATGTTCAAGAAATTCTCGCCCATTCAGTAAACAACACCGTGTGAAAATCCGTGCCGCATGAACCTGATAGCCTACCGTAAGATACTGTTTGATTACAAGTCGGATTCACTTACTTTTCCTACCGAGTTACATATAAATATTGCTTGAGAAAGGAGCACATTTGCTTTTCTTTCAGTTTTCTTTCGTTCTTCATTTGAAAGTGCACTTTTCTGTGTATTTTCTCTTTTTCTCTTTCGTTCTCAGCTAAGAACGTCGAAGACACATTTTTACGTTCTGCGCTTTGGTGATCAATGACGACTATAAAATATAATGCGCGAGAACTCACTCGATTGTTCTTGATATCGAACAATCAGACGAAATTCTGTAGTTGGGATCCATACATACATCATTATTAATTATATTGTATTATATTATGTTGGTCCTGATTCAAATTGGGCATAGTATTATCGATAAATCGTTCGTTCATACTTTAAAAACGCGTGTGTTCACTTTGATAAAACACTCAATTAAATGAGATACAAACGCATTCCTGTTAATTCTAAAATCAATATAGAATATTCTACTTGGATCCGTCCTAGAATTATCTTGATAGACATCGATTAGTGTCATCATCTCGAGTCAACTTTACAGAATATCTAATGATGTCGTTTTGAATATATGGCGTTCTACATTCTATACTTATACACACATTGTGGAAGACATACTCAATCTCTTTCCCTTTCTCTGCACGATATTTCCGTCGTTTTCCATGTGTCGTTATCTTAACAAAAAGTTTTCGACTCACACATGACGCTACCGTTTCCCAGAATAATTGGATATACTCATGATAAATATCTGTAATTCAAAACAAATATGACTTTTGGTAAAAGTACTTCAATTGTTGTTTCTGAATGATAATATAGATAAGTGTTTTTCTTTAATAAACTAATTCGTTGCTTGAAATCTAGTTGTGCGTATCACCTTGCGTCTCTGCTCACATCTCAAGTAGTGTTTTGTCCACAATTAACTCTTTGGTGAGGAACACAAGGAGTTCGGAATGGTAGGGCCTGCAGAACAGAAGACTGTCATTTAAAGATCAACAGTAACTAGTTCGTTGGGAAAGTTTCTTGATGTTTGGATGAGATTTTAGTAGAAGTCGATTTTAAAATGAAATATTGACATTTCGATATACTCGATCCTTCAATTGTCAATAATAAATTAAATCCATCAATAAATACGATAAAGCTGTGAAAATTAAAGAGAAGAGGTTCGTTTTCTTTTTCTTATTATTAGTCCATTCGTAGACGAAAACCTAACGATGATTTACATTGTACTTCTCATCAGTCTTTTCATACAAATTGTTTCTCTCCAGACATGTTCCAATCTCGAAAGAGGTATCGATCGTCCGGGACAATGGTACGTTCACCTATTGTCCACAACATCAGCAGGAGCATGCTGTGCTCTATGTGACAGTGAAACACAATGCAAATCATGGACCTTTTTCAGCGCCCCATCAATATTAGCAGCTGGTTGTTATCTAAAAGCCTTTGTTCCACCAATTAATGGAAGTTCGAATTGTGGACAAACGTGTGCAAGTGGGGTCAAAGATTCAACATTAGTACTCCAAGGTCCATGTGCATTTCCAGGTGGGGCATACGAATTAGCTGTCGATCGACCAGGCGCAACATACGTTCACTTAACAAGTATTCGAACGCATCCAAAATGTTGTGCTATGTGTCAAATGGAAGGAAATAAGTGTCAATCATGGACATTTGTACGAGATGGCGCACCGAACAGAGCTGGTGGATGTTTTTTAAAAACACAAGTTGCACCGATTAGTAATACACCGTGTGTGCCATGTACATCAGGAAAAAAATAAGAATTAGTTGAAAAGATTCAATTATAATAATAAAGAGAAACGTAATCGTACACTTTACTTGTTTTTTGTAATTGACAATAACAACGATCTAAACGAAACTTGTGATCATCGAAGACGAGACCTTTTTTTTGTTAAAATGTTATGTCTAAATCCTTTCTATAATCCTTAAAAGGATCTGTCGAGTTTTCTACAGGTATCATTTGAATAATGCTATACTCAATCATCGTTCTTTTCTTATTCTTCAATGGGTATACCGATGCTGAGCAACTTCTTGGCGCTCATATAGTAAACTATGCAGAGCACTCTAATTGAATTACGTTCATTTTTTCAATGAAATAGATCTTTCGTCATGGTGAACGATCACCAAGTCAACTCTATTCAACAGATACAAATCTGCCGTCTTTTTGGTTGAATGGTCTTGGTCAACTAACTATTCGAGGTCGATTACAACAGATCTCACTTGGACAATATGTTCGAGAACGTTATTCAAATCTAATCAATTCAACTTATATTTCATCAGAAGTAAAACGATTGACGATTCTTTCTTGATTATCAACGATCACAAACAATATTTTAGATCACAGTTCGAAGTTCGGATTATGATCGAACATTGATGTCTGCTTATTCGAATCTTGTTGGTCTTTATCCATCATCAGAAAAGATGAAATTATCGGAAGATTTATTTGCGAATAACAAATGGCCTGAAATGTTGCCTTGGCAGCCAGTTCCTGTACATACAGTACCGAAATCGATTGATCATGTTCGTTGAATTCTTCCTCGAAGCAAAATCAAATATCTATATGATTGATATTTAGTTAATGGGTGTAAGTT